CACCAGCTCTGAGCCAGCTGGTGTAATGCCTGCAGACGTAGTCGCCTAAACCTAGCAGTAACTTATTCCAACGTGTTCTGAACATGCCAGGCGACCCTCCAAAAATCAAAAAGATCTGGATGGCAGGACTTGAGACACCGTGAAAGAAAACTGCAGGCGAGCTCACAGTTGATCTTGGCATGCTGGACTCGGCCAATGCCTCTCCGACCTGGCTTGGGCTTGCTGATTCGAAAGAAAATAGGCCCATTATCTTTTCCTAAATACAAGTTGCGCTCGACAAAAACAGGCCTGCGGTGGTCAACAGGCTCAAGCTCTTCCCATCTGGTGATGGTGTCCAAAGCAGGTTGAAGGACGACCAGATGCCTGTAGTTGAAAAGAGCTCCTCCGATTTCAAAGCAATGTCGACCATAGGCAGCGAGCATCAAAGCTGGACAGGTCCAAAGACTTTGAGCCACGGCATGACCCAACTCTCAGGTCGCACCAGTTGCGCCGCATCAAGAAGTCCAGGGCTGCGACGTCCACGACGAGGAAGACGTGGCCCTGGGTTCTGGGCTTCTCTAACGCGGCGACGCTCACAGCAGTAGGGGCACTGGTTTCTTCGCAAGATTGAGGTCTGAGACGGCAGCCCACGCAAGCAGGCCGCAAAGCTTCTTTGGGTACCTCTTCCTCGGAGAACTCTGTGCTTATGAGATCTGTCGCATAGATGCCGAAGTCCACTCAGTCGCCCGGGTTTCAAAAAACGAGTTCGCCTGCGCCATGGAGTTCCAAAATGGCAGAAGTCACACTTGTAATACTTGCGCTGGACTTGCAGGGGCAAATTGGTCATTGAAGGTTGTAGCCAGATGAAGCTCCCATCGGGATTTTCAACCCATACTGGATTGACAGCCTAAGGCAGGCGCGCAGCATTTTCACAAGCCACTTGCAATAAGAGTTGCCATCGCGAATTTGGTAACCCCTGCCTGCGCTACTCAGTCGAATGCCTTCAGGTTCACAACGAGAGCGCGCTGCAGGGGTTATAGCTCTGCTAAATGATGAACAAATTGGAGCCGCCGAAAGGTGAAGAAACACCCTTGCTTCGAGGAGCCTCTCAAGTTTTCCACGAACAGTTTTGTGCAATAAGTCAGCTTGAGGTCCGTCAGCTATGTCAACTGTGAGGACCCACAGGGCTCCCGCACGGCAGGATGCTTGGGCAAAACCTTTGCAACCTGAATACAGGCACAGCGAGGGGGCCAGCTAAAGCCCTCGCCAAAAACCAATAGGTCCTCACCAAAAGATTCTAATTCAGCCTGAAGATCGAAGGATGGCATGCGCTTACACTGGCTTCATCTGCAGGGCGAGCAGCGCTTCTAGGTTCATCTGTTATCTTCTTCTTAAAAGTATGACGAGCTTCAAGTTTCCGTTGAAGCTTTTTATGGAAACTGTTGTGAATTGAGCAGCATACGGGGTCAATGAAACTCGTGTCAAACTCACAAGCTTCCAACATTTGGTCCAGGTCGTCAAACGAACCCCCCTCTGCTTTGAGCTACCCACAGCTACTGTAGATACCAAGACCCATAACGTAAGGCAAGCTGCTGCTCAAACCAGCCAACTGTTCTGCTCGTAGACAGGACCGTAGCTCTCCAATGTTAATATGCCTTTGTTTTTTTACAACGTCGCTTCCAAACCACTGAAAAAGCATGCGCTCTTGAAGCTGTTTCTCAGACAGGATGATTCGCAAACTGTTCTCCAGGATTAGGTAGTTCTTCACCAAATTCAAACACACCAGTGCCACGTTGATGAGCTTTGAAGGGGGCAACAATTTCGCCCATGCAGATTTGACCTGGCCATGACGATGGATCTCATGTTTCCTGTGTCCGCGTAGAGGAGCGTTTCTCACTGCGTCATTTCAGTTGGACGCATCCACCATCCATATATCATCAGCAAACCTGCACGAAGGTCAGCAACAGCAAGCGAACAAAGAATGCAGCAAGACAACAATTCATCCCGCAGATCAGCAGAAATAGACATGACATCACCTTGACGACGACCACCTTGAGCAGCATAAGCAAGGTCAAGGAGCCACATTGAATGCCCAAGCCGATGTGTGAATCTCCCATCGCCAGCGAACATAAGCTCCCATAAACGTAAGGTTCAGATAAGAGGTCTTGAGGGAATCCGCTAAAATGTTTGACCAAACGTGTAACAATCTTCCAATCCAAAAAATTTCGCGAAGCCCGGTCGTAACGGACCCTGAACATGTAAAAGAAGTTTGAAAGCACTCATGAGCAGCTTCTGCCCTGGCTCACACACACACACAGACGCACGCACGCACGCACGCGCGCACGCACGCACGCACGCTCGCGCACGCAAACGCACGCGCGCACGCACACGTGCACGCGCACGCGCTCGCGCCCGCGCACGCGCATGCGTACGCACACGCACACGCACGCGCACACGCACACGCGCACGCACGCACGCACGGACTGCTCCGTTGCATGATGGGGACCCTTGCAGTTTGGCTTTTTTCTCTGCAGTTGCCACTCGCGATCATTTTCCAGTTCCATGGCATCACTGTCTACGCCTCCATGTCAGTACGCGGCAAACCACCGCGTTTGGCGGTAGGTGTACTCTAGCATGTTTCGGTATAACACGACGGGCTGTCTGTGGACTGCTCTTGGCCTGCTGCGCCGCGACTCGAGGCCGTGATTTGTTTAGCTGCTGGTTCCACAACAAACAAATCAACACATAGTGTTTGTCGGTTTGTTTTTTGGGCCTCTGATTTTGCAACGCTCATTCCCAGTGGGGCATCGACTTTGAGACACTCAAAAATAAGAATTACCAATGAATCCTGGCTTCGCGGTAAAACTGGAGGTTGATGCGCGCGTGGCAGACGTGGGGGGTTCAGCAATTTGCTGCGTTGCCGCGCTTTAGCGGCCAAATCGCGCAGGGCCACGAACAACGACTTAGCCTTGTTTTAGGCTCTTCGAGGCGTTAAGGCATCTGCGTTGGCATCGGGGAGGACATGTTGGGAGAAAGCACTCGGAGGGCAGCTTGGTTCGAGGCTGAACTCTTGTGCCAGGAGTAACAACCGCCCAAGCAGCCCGAGCAGTCCTCGAATAGCCCTGGATCTTGCTGCGGCGCCCCCATCCTCGAACCCACAGCTCCGCTGTTCGGAAGCACCGAGGAGACACCATAGTCCTCCATGAGGTTGGATTCCATCACAGTCCACAGCTTCTTCGGGTTTTCCTTGAACGCCTTCTTTACGGCACGGATGACAGATGCGTGCTTTTGGGCAAGGCCACCAGAACCGTCCGCCGCTTCCTGCAAAGTCCATGGAGTCCTGTAGAGGGTCGCTCTTCCCGCTCAAGTGCATCTTGGCAACGATCTTCTTGAACTGCAGGACTGCAGCTGTCATGGGCTCCTGAGTCAGCATGGGACCCTCTCCGTCCTTGCCGGCAGACGAATCGTCGTTCAGTCGTCAGCAACTTGGGGCGTTGGCCTCCTTTCCGTGGAGGATCTTTCATGTTCACGGGCCTCGACTCTTAGTCACCAAGTCTTTGAACGGGACCCCAGCTTGAAGAGCTGCCGGAACAGCTCCTGGATCGAGGCTTGGCAGTTCACGCCAGAACTTCTCCCGAGCTGCAGCTTCCAAGGAATCGGCATGGAGAAAACATTGTGTAGAAGTCTCCTTATCTTCGAAGGGGATGTCAGATCCTCAGCAAAACTGACGTAAGCGTCAAAGCCCGCGCCAAACCAATACTCAGATATGGCGCTGGCCCTGTTGGCAACGTCACAGCCGGTCACCGACAATAACAAAGGCTTCACTAAACTATCGTTGGGCAATTCTTATTCCAAGCAGCTCCTGGCACGCACACAAGGTAGCCTCTCTCAGCCCCACCCAGCACAACAATGGAAGCACTTGAATTCGAGGGCAACGCCGTCAGATGTCAAAGCTGCCTCTTCACCAAGAGGCTGTCGCTGGCCTTCTTCGCCAGCCATTTCACTCCTCAGCATTCGCAGGCCAGCAAAAGTCGGTGCCACTGCAACACGGGCTTCCCAGGTATTTGCAAAGCCAGCAAACGTCCAGCACTGCCCCTTAGGCGAACCACAGCTTGCAAGTCAGAGTAGCGCGCAGGATCTGTGCCCACAGCTCCTCTGCAATCACGGGCCGCAACGTAGCAGGTGTTGGGGAGCCCCGCGCGTTGACGACCACTTTCACGATGCGGGCCCTGCGAGACAATCACCAAAGAACCTGCCCGTAGCTCGAGCAGAGTCCACGTGCTCGCCCTCCGAGATCAGCGGAGCAAAACGGGCTTTTGGCGCCGCTCTAGCCTTGGTAGCTGGGACCGGTGATCCGCTGCTTTGCCAGAATCACAATTTCCAGGATAGGCCACAAAGCAATCGCAACAGCGACGCCGGGGATTTCAGCGGGGAGCTCAGGACACTCCAGGCTGATTGGTGGCACTGACCAGCCCCGATCCGTAGCAAAAACCCAATAGGCTCCCAATAACACCTGAAAGCGCGAGAGGCCGATGTTCCATCCGCAAGTACCCTTGAGCTTCCATCTGCACGGTGCAAAACTGCGAACCATGTATATATGTACCAGTCCCTGGGCCACTTACCCCCCATGGTCCGTAGGGCCCCCCCGCTCCCCCGATGATGCTGGCAATGCTGGAGCCCTGCAGCTTCTCCCCCTTTCACACACCCGTGAACCAACACCCCAACACCTCTTGCAACATCCTACCCTAAACCAAACCACCCTGCAACCCCTCCTTGACCCAAGCCCTAAGCCTGAATCAACCCAAACCCAAACCCACCCAAAACCCACCGCAAACCAACGCTGAACCAACCCTAAACCAAAGCCTAAACCAACTCCAAACCACACCCCAACCACCCCACCACCCCACCACCCCACCACCCCACAGGGGGGGGGGGGGTTGGGGGGCGGAGGGGGGGATTCACGGCCTGGAACATGTGTCGCTACAAATCTTCCACCACAGCTCCCCGCTATCTCCGCAGGCCTATAGGCGAGAATTCGCCACGCTCAAGGGCAGTTTTCACGGCCAACTTGAAGTCCTGCCCAACTGATTGCTGCGTAACTTCTCATTTACCAGCTTGGACACCAAATCAACGCCAAGGCCAAACACAGGCCAAATACGGTCTGTTGTGGCTGCGGGTAGAACATATTCAGATCTTGTGAGTTTCATTCGTCTTGGCTGGAACAATGAACAAGCCCCTGCAAGTCCTTGGGGAACACGCGAACGAACTCGCTAGCGGAGTCAGGCCATCTCTCCAGGATCTCCGTCGCCCTCTTGCCTTGGCCCAAGCACACGTGAAGCAAAGCTGTTCCAGCTAGACCGCTAGACCATCACTCTGCATCAGGCCATCTCACCAAAATGCCATAGCCCGGCGGCCGGACACCGGGCCTCTTGGCTGATGATCCTTGTAGGAAACACTAGCGAAGTTTGTCAGTTGTATGAGACTCCGCTGCTTCGAGCGTTTGCGCTCTGCAAGGCCATGTTGCTGTTCGTCCAGCTCTTGTGTGCCTCCAGAAGGGACTGAAGATCCTGTTGGGCTGCGACCACAATTGCAGTCTACCGCGCGGCAGGTCGCAAGTCCGGCCTTCTGCTCATCCAAGTATTCTGCCAAAGGCTTTGCTATGTTCACTCGTGCGACTTCCAACTCCTGCGCGGGACGGCGGAGCCTTGAAAAGTGTTGCAAAGCAGGACTCTACTTTCTACGCTCCCCTGCGTTTGTGGGCACAAAGCGCTTTGTTTTTGGCAGGTCCCGGGCCTCTACTGAATGGGACTCATGGCTGTGTATCTTACGGCGACTTGTCCTCGCTAGAGTCCGTGCTGAAAAGTTCCATCGCGTTGCGCTGTACAGGCGCCAGTTCCTCTCTGTCCATCAATTGACGCTGGCTCCTCGAAAGTCTTTCTGCCCTCAAAGGACTTCGTCGGATCCCAGACCCAGGTGACTCCGCCGCTCATGCCTGCGCAACTCAGTACGACTGAGGAAGTACAGAGCCATCTACGGCATTCCCGCCTGCTCCGAAGTTGTCTCCAACACCTCCAAGAACACACACGCGGCCACCTGCAGAGCAATTGTCACACATTGCGGGGCCGCAAGGCAAGCCAGGTGTTGCGCGAATCCTGACCAGGAGGAGGGGGACTGCTGAAGTCACGGCTGCTGAAGTCACGGCTGCTGAAGTACAACTTTTAGAGTCATTGGTAGGTTCTTTTGAATCGACCCTCCCCCCAAAAAACGACGGCGCCCATGTTTAGGTGCTAAATAGCCAATCATTGCCATTCTTTTAAAAAGGAAGCCAAACAGGGGTGGATGATTGCTATCATTTTCTGTCAAATCCAACTATTTTCGGCCACGGCAAGGGGTTTAAGCCACCCCACAAAGGAAAATACAGGAGTGTCCTCAATTCAGTGGCTTCTGTGCTTGTATACCTTCTTTGCTGTTTGGGGGCAAGCTTCGGTTGTATACCCTGTTTTTCTCTTGGGGAACAGTAGTTTCGGGAACCTTCCTTGCTACAGTTCTTTCATTTCTTTAAAAAATTGTTTGGGCCAGACTTACTTGAGCTTTCAAAGAAACAAGCTGTGTGTCATACCAAGATACCAACGCAGTTCATGATTGGTGAAGCGCTTGTCAAGAAACCACTCAATATGTTTTCGTTGATGTCGTGATGATGAACGTCATGCGTAGCGCCAACAAACATGCCAATGTCTTCACGCTGTCAAGTTGGTCGCTGGTGAAATACAGGACATCTGCTGAACCTGTTGAGCTTGCATGGAATGCGACTCGCACACTCTCCGCGGTGCGTGGGACCCACTTCCTGCTGAGATCTCAATCTGCCTCGTTGTACGTGGACTATGCCCTGATAGAGCATGTAAGGGGACTGGCCACAGCGAACAATCATGTTGAGTTCCCCACGCTTACATTTGATAAGGTGCTTGGGTCGAATGTGATGCGGTACTAGACACTACCAGAAATTGGTCGTGAACTAGACCTTCTTGAACGACCATGGCGAGGACCAACACGGTTCGCCCTCCACACGTGTAGGTTAAAATGAACCGGTCACCAGAATGGAAGAGTCATGTGTACAGTTTCGGACAGGTCACATTCGGCCAGGTCACATTCACACACACAGACACAGACACACACAGACACAGACACAGACACAGACACAGACACAGACACAGACACAGACACAGACACAGACACAGACACAGACACAGACACAGACACAGACACACACAGACACAGACACAGACACAGACACAGACACAGACACAGACACAGACATAGACACAGACACAGACACAGACACAGACACAGACACAGACACAGGCACAGACACAGACACGTGTAGACATGCCGACTCCATGTCCTTCTGAAGATTGCCCACTCTTCCAGGAACCTACCTCATTTGCATCCCATCCGTTTAACACACCCCTTGTTTGCCCGAACCAAAATCGTCTGCCCCGTTTGTCTGACGTGTCTTCGAATAGCAACCTTCGTCCCAAGAGCTTATCCGGCGTCAATGTTTACCTGGAATAAGCCGTGCCTGTCATGTACTCACAGCAGTGGTCGCCAGCGCCCTCCACCACGGCCCACACACCGGAGTTGCGCACCTTGCGCGGGGTCGCTGGGCGACTGTTGCCCAACCCGACCAAAGATGTTGCCGCGGCGCTGCGAAGCGCTCAGCCGCGATGCCGTTGACGAAGCAAACCCCGGCAGTGGCGCCATAGAGGGCCTTTGGTCCGAACAGCCTTCTGAGAAGCGCTTCAACCAATTGCAGACCTGTGTTTCGCCAGGCGGTTGAACTATGAGCAAAGCCTTCTTGCTCGACAAACCATGAAATGTTAAAACCTTCTCTGCTGAGTTATAAGGAACTGACAAGAAACCCCCACGCCCGGTCACGCTACAAAGTGTATTCATGCGTGTGTGTGTGTGTGCGCGTGTGTGCGGGCGTGTGTGCGGGCGTGTGCGCGGGCGTGCGCGCGGGCGTGCGCGCGGGCGTGCGCGCGGGCG